ATAGGCCAAAAAGATCAAACATGAACAGCAAGGATTTCCACAGTCAGGTAATCTACACTGATAACATGCTACCAAACATGATCGCTCACAGAGGACGTGAACATTATTGTTTTCTAACAATGGAGAAATGGGCAACTGAAAGACCTGAGCCACTTTGACAAAGGGCAAATCTCTACGGACAGACAGGGGTCAGATCTCTGACGCAGGACGGCTTCTACCAATCAGCAGTGGTTTGCACTAACACTGATCAGGGATCAGTTTGTAGGACGATGTGCTGGCAGCAGCTCCATAACTTACATAACTCATAATTAAAAGCACTTCAAGGATCTATTGTGAACGTCTTGGTAACGGATACCACAGGGAGCCATCAGAGAGTCCATGACTTTGTGAGTTTAAGGGTCTTTTTCCTGCATGCAAAGGACCAACAGCATATCAGCCATGGGTGGTTGTAGTGTGTTGGCTCATTAGTGTGTGTATTTTCCACTAGGTTTAGTCATTTTTCATTATCACTCATATAAAACTCATGTAAAAGAAGCTGTTGTTGTAGTAATTTTCAAACATTTTTGAGTCATATTCAAAATATTGTTGTTGCTTATCTCACAGCAACATTTGGGCCTTTTGTGTTTGTCTTGTTTGTGTTTATGTTATTGCACTTCCTCTTTGTGGGTTTTTTTTTCCCCCCCAGCTGATAATACTGCCCTTGTTTAGCTTTGCTGCAACAGGGCAGAGCTCAAAAGCTCCCGGCTGTCGACCTGCTACTGTGGGTCATCATTACAATGGAGGGGTGGGATGAAATCTGTAAGCTGAACTCCTTCTCCGGTCAATGGTCAAACCTCTAAAAATTCATTTCTGTGTATTTAAGTGACATATTTAGAAATGTTCATGAAAATAATCCCATCTTTAAATGACTTACATGAAGCTGTACCCTGTTGCTGCCTTTAAAATGTGTGAAGTTCCTGCTTTTATCTGCTCACACCCTGTACTACACCCCTCACAGCTGCTCAAACACCAGCTCACCTACGACTCTGATCAAGTATATAAAACCACTACACAGTGACAAGTTGTATCACTGGAATGCATCAGCCACGCGTGTGGAAACTGAAAATTGATTCTGAAGAAGAGAAATGATACAGAAAGCCCCACACTCCAAGTTTTTATGTACGAAACCATAGAATTCTGGGTTTGTTTACACGATGCACTGCAGTTTCAAGCCAGAAATGCTCAGCCATGACGTCGACTGTTTATTTTGCTAATGATTTCTCTGATGATATAAAGAATACAGTATGTAAACAAGGTAAAAAATAAACCTGATTTTCACTTTCGGTATGATTCCTCAGTGTCTCCATTAAAACAAGACGTATAAGGAAGTAGACATGTGAAATACAACCCCTCTGACGCAGACTTTGGTTAAAACTCTCTATGCAGCCGATTTGAGGTAGAGCTGGGCAGGAGGATGGGACGAGGGATGTCTGACTCTGAGAACGTTGGCAGGCAGGTGATTGGGCAAGAGTAGTGGTGTTGTGACAGTGTATGGGAAAGTGGAAGTGATGAAGAGAATACAGCCGTGGGAATAGCTCAAATGAAAGAAATAGAAGCGGAACTTGGGCTGCAAGGTGGCGCAGTTGGTACGACTGTTGCCTCACAGAAGCCGGTTCGTGTCCCGGTGGGGCCACTGGGATCTTTCTGTGTGGAGTCTCCATGTTCTCCCCATGCAGCCTGGTTCTCCGGCTTCCTCCAACAGTCCAGAAGCATGCTGAGGTTAATTGGTGATTCTAAATTGTCTGTAGGTGTGAATGTGAGTGTGCTTGGTTGTCTGTCTCTAAGTGTAGCCCTGTGATAGACTGGTTACCTGTCCAGGTGAACCTGCCTTCACCCTGAGTCAGCTGGGATAGACTCCAGCCCCCCACGACCCTAGTGAGGATTAAGTGGTGTATAGATAATGGAAATGTACGTAGCCCGTCTGGTGACATCGATAAGAAATAAAAATAACTCGTTCCCACGCATTAGTAAATCATGGCCACGAGTTATTAATGCGAGGGAACGACATAGTTAAATTGTGGCTTCGCATTACTAATATGAAGAAACAAGAAGTTGTGGAGCAGATTTCACAGTGCGGTCATACCAGCTGTGGATTAAGTATAACGGGCGTACTTGCATGAAACACGGAACATTTTGATTTCACTTAATCTTATTTTCACCTTGGAATGAACTACACCGATATCCTGCGATCTCTTGTGATAATTATGTCGTTCCCACGCATTATTATCTCGTGGCCACGATTTACTAATGCGTGGGAATGAGTTATTTCTATTTCTTATCGATGTCACCAGATGGGCTCTGTAGAAATGGAACTTGAGGCTAAAGATTTTCTTTTCCTGAACTTACAAAAGCTGAAAGTTAAGCTTTAATATCCTACATATTTCAAAGCCATCTCAAGCCCCCAGCACACACACACAGCTTGTTTAAATTTGTTTAAATGACACCAATGTGTCAGCAGCATTCGTCAGCAAGCCTGTAATCAAAAGCAGACTAAACAGTCACCAAAACAAAAGTGACTCTGTTCAAGTATCTGACTTGAAAACAGAAATGTGTTCTCGCATTCTGTTTTGATAAACTGCATATTCCCACCTCATTAGATACCATGATGAGAGAAGATGTTTGAGCTCATGTTTACAAATTGATCTGTTGCTGCATCAAACAAAACTGGATCAAATGATGGAAAACAGTCAGAAAGGTATTTTTTGTTGTCTGGCTCCCTCACTACCCTTGTAGATCATTCCCTAAGATTAATTTATCAGTGAAAAGTCAAGTAAAGGGACCTGGGATGAGTCATCTTTGCAAACGGGTGTGAACTACAGTATGCTGATGTCTGACACTGTCTAGCATCATAAATCACCAGAGTTCATGTAACTTTGTTAATCACAGTAAGACAAGCTTGTGGTTGAACAAACCTGCACTGAAACACTCGTGCAAACAGCTACGCTGTGTGTTTGTTGCAGAGGAATGCTGAGAGAAGAACCTGCAGCAGGAGGCTTGTTTCTGTTTTATTTGGTTGCCAGCAACAGCACCTTCAAGCATCAATCTCATGTCCAACAGCTGCTTCCCAGTTATTTATTTATTTCATTAACATATAATTTACCACCAAAGTGCTGGAATATTTTTTGAACTTTCCACCTGATTAAAGTTCTTCAAATATAGTTGATAACAGCTACAGAACTGGGAGGCCAAAATGAACAATCTTGGGCTCTACAGATAAAAAAAAAAAAAAAGACACTTTGGAAGATTTGTACCACAGTGTGTCTCTTTAACTTTATCACCAGGCGAGGCTGAGTCAGCGGCACCAATGTTATTGAACCTAACAGCGTTCCACTGCAACTCTACCAAATGTGAAGCAGCAGAAATGAAGCACAACAAATGCTACGTCTACTTGAGTCACAGGAGGGCAGCTTCTTTAGCGAATGTGCTTTGCTTGGAAACCTTCGAAACGCGGTGCTGGGCGAGCGTTTGTAATCAGTGTGAGCTGGTTCTGATACGTGAACCTCCACAGATATTCCACAGATATCAAAAGCATGTATCTGTTGCCGAACTGCGTGTGCAAAACTGTCAGCCTTGTAAAACCCATGATAAATGTTCATCTGTTGACAGGGTCATTAACATGATGAACTGAGAGCGTAGCAGATACTGGTCAACCTGCCAAAAAAAAAAGAAGAAGCATTTTTCCACATATCACTGAGAGCAGTCCAAAGTCCAGTACAGTCTTTATAGGGAGCCCACGACACTGCAGACCTGTAATAATATGAAATTCTGTATTCTGATAAGCTTATCTCGTGTCCGCTAACTGCTTATGGTTACATGAGAGTTAACAAGAGAAACCTAAGGCATCTGTGGGAGCCTCTCTACATGGCTGTGGTCTTCAAAAATGTAGGAGTGGAGTCCGATGTGGTTGAAATGGTTTGCTTGCAGATGGATGCAGCTGAAAGTATTTTGGGGTTAAGTGCAAATCAGAGCGAATGGACAAGATATAAATGCACGGTTCTATCCCAGGGTTAGTCTTTATCTTTTGTTTTTGCATTTAACTGTGAAGTACTTTCTTCTACAAAATCATTTCAATAAGTCCTCCAAGCAAAGGAAGCTTCAGCTACAGTTTTACTCACTTTTACCTTTAGTTCTCGTTGGGAGCACAGGTGATTGATGACTTCTCTTTGGCTGTATCTCATTTCTAGGGAAATCTCTCCTGTGCTGGGGCTTGTATTTGTCATTTCAGCCTTTATTTTTCATTTTCATTTCTTAGGAAGTCTCGTAATCCTCCACCCTTGTGATTGTGTATGAGATGTTGCCTCGTGACATTATCTATAGTTTTTGTTTTCTGTTTTTTGTTATTTCACCAAGGATGCGATTCTGCTTTGGTTCACATTTTACATGCTATGTGTCAAAAATATCTACAGCACAGCTTCATAAATCTACTCCTGCTGTGTTCAATTAAAAAAAACAACTAATATTTAGAGTAAGAAATCAATTAAAAGATGCTGTTTTCTCCACTAGTACTATCCACTCTTTTTGTGACTGACAGTGTCTTATTTGCTAATAAATGTATTGATTGATAGCCGTTTCTGTATTCGATAACGTCATTGACACGATTTTCGGCGACTGTTTTAAGTATCTTAAGTTCAAAACCTCAGATTCCATGCCATCCTGTAAGAACAAAACAGTCAACGGTTCGCCAGCAAGAGTTGGAAAACACTGCTGGATTCACTCAAAAATGGGCTCCTCTGGGGCGCTCCGGTAGCTCAACTGAGAAGACGACAACCCATGTATGGGAACTATAGTCCCAGACACAGCGACCGCGGTTTGAGTCCAGTCAGCGGCTCATTTGCTGCATGCCCTTCGCCCACTCTTCACTATCTTGTCCATTAAAGGCGAAAAAGCCCAGAAATAATTTAATTGCCTCCTCTGAAAACATTGCCTTACTGTCTCCGTATTATCTTTCTCTCTCTCGACAGATAGATGTTTTTTTAAGCAGCCCATGGCCTGCATTCTGCTGACAAACATGGATCCGCCTACATCCAGTCCTGCAACACATTCCAACGGCGCCCTCCCTGACGCCGACTCGGCCACTGGACTCGACTCTAAGCCGGACTTGGAAGCCACCTGTTTGAGCGTCCACCTTTACTACCTGGGGAAGGACGAAGGAGGAGTCGAGGCCAAGTGTTCAAAAGATGCGCTCGCGTTTCCCCCTGGAGAGTACGTGGCAGAGGATCTGTGCATCATTGCAGCGAAAGCATGTGGTAAGTCAAGAGGATTTCGGTTCTCATGTTTGCCCAAACACACAAAAGGTATTTTCAGTTTCATTTACCTGCAGTCTGGTAATTTAGCAGTTGTGTAGCATAAGCTCTGTGGACTCTATTTGTGGCTAAAACACCAAAACATGCATTAAACATAGAAGAAGACAAAGCAGGACAAGCAAAGAAAGAATGGTAAATGTAGTCATTTATGACATTGTGCTGTTGCTTCACCATTGATAAATCCTTAGTAATGTTCAAAATGTCTTGAGGAGTTGACGGGGGACATCATGTCCTTGTCTATATCACCACATATCAGATATTTCCTGCAACACTGTCGAGTTCTGCTTTTGTTTGTGTCGTACACATTGCTGACAAACCCTTGACTCTAAACGAGTCAAGTAGAGTGCAGAGTTGTTTTATTACTTATTAGGTCTGAAATATTACACTTTTTATACAATTCAATATATAGATATGTTCGTTATATATCTTCATTATGAACAGACTGCCTTTTTTGCTGAGTCAGATTTGTTACGGTCTGTTGGTGTGATAATGTAAGACATGTGCTTAAGAAACAAGCTAGAATAATAAATTTCCAAATTGGCCGACCGAGCCCACCTGCTCGATCAAAGCATTCCATTAAGCAAGCTTCAAACGAAGTGGATGGAAAATGAAGCGAGTTGGGACAAGCGTTTGGCTGATTAAGCCAACTGTGACAGGCTGAATTATCAACTGAAAACCATATTCAAAGCACACTTCCTGTGCCTAAGGCAGAAAAAAGAGGATGCGGTTTATACAATTGAACCGTTTTAGTTCTTGGGAAACAAAATCTACAGCGATGTCGTCACGCCATATGAGGGAGCGTATTGTATTTTGGAGGAATCTTGTTTATCTCTCCACTAGAATTATTACACAAGTATTCCAATGATTCCACATTTGACTTTAAAAAAAACATTCCAAAAGTAATGTTTATTTTTTACAGACAAGTACCACTTTTGCGTCACATAGTCTATGTTTTTATTCCATTTTCAACTTCCATCAGTGTGCATTTCTTGTCCAAATACTCTGCAAATCTCTGACTGTTGGTACTTTCCTAAAGATCTGTCGGAAAGATGAAGAGTCACTTGAGGACACTTCATCCACTTCATTCGCTCTTTGTCGTTTGTATTCTGCTCTCCACTACAGTCATCCACGGCTCAGCTTTGGTGGATTGTATTTCCACAAGCTTCACAATGTTGTACTGTCATATGAGGTGACATATCGTACAGATGTTGGTCAGGGAGGACAGATGGTTTGAGAGAGGGGTGAAAGAAGCCATCAACTGGAAAGACAATCCCTCCACAGAGGTGGAGGTCTGAGGCATCACCTCTCTCCTGTTTACAATCCAGTCCTAAAATCTCTCCCCAGGAAGATGAAACCACGTTCACACCTAGCCACAACGGACCCTAACGAACCCCACTGTGACAGGGGGAACGACTCACATAACGAGGTGGAGGAGCAACAACCCCCCGACTGAAACCGAAACTCAGATGTTAATGGCTCCTTAAGGATATCAGTATCTGGAACTCCCAACTAGTCAGTCAGAGCTGATGAAGCCTCTTGGATGAGAGGTGGATTGTCTTCAGGGAACTCAAGCAGATCCAGTTGCTACGATTAATCTACGGGAATAGTTAAAAAAGCTGTTTTTTTGGGGGGTAATAACATTAAGTAATATTATTACTGCCGTGCAACACTGCCGAGGAGCATCGAAGCTGTTCTTGCGCGCTGTGGTCGCCACACCTTCGGACGCTTCATGTCGTCTTTTCTGTCTCACTTGTGTCCCATTTGTACATATCGTTGCATCTTTTGTTGTTCCCTTGGACCCATTTGGATTGAAGTCAAAATGTAGTGGCCACGAATTTTCCCCTCCGAGCCATTGTTCAGATGAAACTCCACCGTGTGACTGGTTGCTTAGTCTTCGGTGTGGGGTAATTATTGTTTTTGGCAACACAACAACAGCACTCAGTTTTCTTGCCTTCTCCCCTACCAACCAAACAACCCTAAATCAGGAAGTTGTGTTCTCTTGCGTCTGTTTTTCTTCTGACACATTTTTCTGTGGTATTCCTTCATTTTCTATCTCCCCTTGCTTTCTTTTTCACTTCTTTTTTAGTCATTTCCTATTATCTTTACATCTACAGCCCCTTCCCTCCGGGCTGTCACTCCCTCTGATAGTCTTTGTCATGCTTTAGTTGAATTAAGGGATTTCTCTGTCTCATTTATCTGGAAACCTTTATGTGTGGTTAAGTACCAGGATATAAGTTTTTATGGAGCAATGATGGTCAAATTTGCTTATTGAAGTGGCTGATTCAGGATGTCTCGTTTCCACCGGTATGAAGTCAAATATATTCACATTCTTAGCGGTAGAGTCTGTAGCAATTGGACTTAGAGGTAGGATATATTGTACTTATTATTCCTCACATTGAAAGAAGTTGTTTGTTAAATAGAAAGATAATGTGAGATGTTCTGTTCAACCTTTGAATGACATCACATACCATTAATCTGTGTAATATACAGTACAAGTAGTAAATCTCGGTTCCTAAAGTGTGAAACTACAATATTTTACTCTCTGGTGTATTTGGTTACTATAGCATGTGATATAGATATAAATATTACAAGACTGGACTCACTTATACTTCAACCTTGTTTGTACTCTGACTTTACTTCCCCTGTTGTGGTTTTGCACACTTCCTCCTTGGTAGCGCTGCCGTCCTCAACCTATTGCTTCACTCTCGAGAGCGCTTCCTGCCGTGTGATGACATTTTACGTCCGCTTGTCCCACTTGGCACGACTGACAAAGAAAGAGAAACACCTTGCAGATGTTGGGGGCTCTTCTTTGAAAACAAAATGAGGAAGTGTGGGCATGATTGAAGAACAAACAGCCAGAGAAATGGGGGCTGGTTTTCTAGCAATCTTGAATGGAGGTCTTTTGAAGTAGGCTGGGACTGTCTGATGAAGAAGTAGAAACCATTCATACTGAAAATGTTTGAGCTTAACAACTGATGCCAACTGCACTGAAATACACGGCTGAGAAAAGCTAGCTGGTCGTCATTATGTGTCACTTTCACAGTTGCTTTCTTACTACAACATAAGCTGTGGGCTTGTAAATATACACGATATGCCTGAGTTTGCATATTCTAAATATTGGCAGATATTTTAGTGCAACTGGTCTCATATTCAGTGATTGGCTGTGGGAGGTAAATTGGTAATGTGTGCAGCTCAGTGCTGAAAAGGGGTGAAAAGTTGTTACTGAGTTAATACTTCCATCCATTATCTATACACCGCTTAATCCTCACTAGGGTCACGGGGGGCTGGAGTCTATCCCAGCTGACTCAGGGTGAAGGCAGGTTCACCTGGACAGGTCACCAGTCTATCACAGGGCTACACTTAGAGACAGACAACCAAGCACACTCACATTCACACTTACGGACAATTTAGAATCACCAATTAACCTCAACATGTTTTTGGACTGTGTGGGAGGAAGGCAGAGAACCCGGAGAGAACCCACGCTGCACGGGGAGAACATGGAGACTCCACCCAGAAAGATCCCGGGTGTCCGGGTGACTCAAACCGGTGACCTTCTAGCTGCGAGGCAACAGTGCTGAGTTAATACTTGGGAATCATAAATGAATACCATTTAACTTTGTCATGACATTGGAGTTACACACCGGACACTCCACAGTGTACACGCCTGTGAACAGAAGGGAAAGGAAAACGGTTGCTGACTTACTCACAACAGTTAGTGTAGGAGCACAAAATCCAGTGAGTTTCAATGATGTGTGGTGCCACAGTGAAACTACATATACTGTGTTACCGCACAGTAAAAATGTAAATGACTGAAGTGAGTGGTGACTGATCTATAATGTATATTGTTTACATGGTCTCTCCAGGGATTGGTCCGGTGTACTGCAGCCTGTTTGGCTTAATGAGGGAACATGACCGGATATGGTTCCCACCTAACCACGTCTTCAAAGTGGACCACTCAGCCAGTGAGACCCTGCACTTCAGGATCAGGTAGACAGGATTCTTTTTGCCATTTCTTTCATTTCCTTGGGTTTGCTTGGATTTAGTCTCTAACCTGATGGTCTGTGGTCACTCTGTCCAGATACTACTTTCCTGGCTGGTATAACAGCAGCAGTTCATCCTACGCTCATCGCTACGGCTTGTCCAAAGGGATGGAAAGTCCCGTGATGGATGATTGTGTCATGGCATACCAGTTTTCTCAGGTAATGCTTTTCTTTCTCTGTATGTGTTTCTTTTAGCATTCTTAGTCAGGATCATTTACATGTTCTCCTTATACCAGAGGACAGTGTCTTCAAGACTAAAGCCTCCTCCTGAGCCTAACCCACCCAACCACTCTGTATTTGCCCCAGTTAGTGTTTTGAATATGATAAGCAGAACTGTTAGGGGAAGATAAAAAAAAGTGCGAGTTTCCCCGTCTCGCTGACTGACTGCCAGTCTGTCTGTCATGTCCGCCCATTCTTTGTACAAGTACAGAAAACAGGAAGTGGGGTAGTAAGAGTGCTTAAGAAGCGCAAATAGGGAACAAGGGTATTTCAGGGTTTCTTTCGTGTTTGCTTGTGTCTTTGCCTGCATATGCATATTTGTGTGCATGTGCGTGTGTTTTATATAGTTTCTGCTTTTTTTTTTCTTCTTCCCCACATGCTTGTGCAAACCTCATGCTCTGTTTGCCTTTGTTTTGTTTTATCTCCTTTGTCACATTGACAACAAGAGCTGTGTGTCAACAGACCGGCCTGCAGTCCCAAAAACTCAGTGTCTTATGAGCATGATGGTGAAATACTGACCAAAAGGAGTTATGCATTTCTTATTATGACCTAAATGTGACCTAAACCGAGTTTATAATCTGCCTGATTATTTGATAAGTAAATGCGTTGATGTACAATTTACTGAATTGAGTGAATCATCTTTGTTTGACATCCAAAAAATGGCTGCAACTACATAAAAGAAAATCTATTCTGTATATATAGAGCCTATTCAGATATGAATAAAGATAAATCTGCTATCTACTTGCCCATCTGTTCCCCCATCCGTCCCCTTCTCTGGCTTTTAGTTCTCTTTTCGTTCTCTTACTCATCTGATGAGATTTTTTTGCGTTTGCTTTTTGCCTTTTCTAGTGGCGTAGTGACTTCCTGAATGGCTGGGTTCAAATTCCAGTGAGCCATGAGGCCCAGGAGGAGTGTTTGGGCATGGCTGTGCTGGACATGATGAGACTTGCCAAAGAGAGTGGCCAGTCGCCAGTGGACATCTACAATGACACCAGGTAGGGTGTGCTCATACAAGAGCGATATGCTGTTGCTGCTTTCACACAGTATTTAATCTAAATTTGGGATAAGAAGATGGTCACCGAGACAAATCACACACACTTAAACAAACAAAACAAGGACTGAGGACGTGAAAAACATATGGTCAGACATCCCTGTTACTGCAAACGAGATGAGAAGGCCAATGCAGACACAAAATCAGTAGAGTAAATATACACCGTACTAGGCTCACATTTTCCCCTTTCCTTTGTAACATGTACTGACATCGTTGTGTATAAAAAGTGATGACAAACATGGATCGTCTTGTATGTTAGATTCTGAACAACGCTGCGCTCTCTCGAACCTAAAAAGAAATTCTAGGCCTTTTGCTGGTGTGCCTGTGGTACAGTTAATGAATAATGATTTCAGAGCAGCGTGACAGGCTCCACAGTCAGCATGAAGACAGTTTCATTATGAGCGTTCATGCAGCTGAATAAACTATTTGTGAGATGATATTTCAGCTGAAGATGCGCCGAGAATATTTGATCTGTACGATGACTACACAATGTCTCCATCCTTGAAATTGTGTTTTTCCTTCATATTGTTGTTATTGTTTGAGCAGGAGGATTACTGACTGATTCTCCTGACTTGTATACATGTATGTTCAGTGAACTGGCGCTTCATCTCCTCGTCTTTTTGTCATTGCCACCTCCGTTTCCACCAAACCACACACCCACCCCGATCCCCTACTTGCTTTCAGCTACAAGTCGTTCCTGCCGCGATGCATGCGAAGCCGCATCCAGGAATATAACATCTTGACTCGGAAGAGAATCCGCTACCGCTTCAGGAAGTTCATCCAGCAGTTCAGCGAATGCAGGGCCACGGTGTGTAACCTCAAGCTCAAATACCTGATTAACCTGGAGACGCTGCTTCCCTGTCTCTACTCTGAGCGCTTCCAAGTCACCGACCTCTCCTCACAAGAGGTTACCATCGTTGTCATGGGCAACAAGGGCATCCAGTGGTCAAAAGGGAAAGAGGACATGGGAGCAGAGGAGGTGAGGACCGGCGTTTATGTTGCCATGGTAATGCATTAATCTGCCACAGAGCGATGCTGGCCGGGGCATTTCTTACCAACGGATGGAGCATGTATGCATGCTTCTTCATCTAATAAAAAAATGCAAACCACTATTTTGTCCTCATTTTGTGTCTTTAGGAGCTGCAGACGTACTGTGATTTCCCAGAAGTGATTGACATCAGCATCAAGCAGGGCAGCAAGGAGGGCTCTGCAGAGAGTCGCATAGTTACCCTCACCAGGCAGGACAACAAGATTCTGGTACAACACACATTTCTATTACTAATACTGCTACTTCTGTACTCTTCATGCTCTACTGTCACTGTGAAATATAAAAGAATGATTTGCTTTACTCTTATATAAACACTGTCACTGCTGTGTGGTAACTGAGTTCTCCCTTTGTGACATTAAAGCAATGATCCACAGACATATTTTCATGTGATCAGGTGGCTTGCTCCAGCAGCTGGATTTGGGAAAGGGCAACATCTGTTCTTCAGCTGTTTGAATAAATTAGTTAAGGACAGCTAGTGTCACCACTAGAGTTCTGGATGTTTACAGCAGTGCTTGAAAGTTTGTGAACCTTTTTTATTTAGCCTTCATGTGTCATTAATTTATTGAGGAAAATTATTAAATCTCTATATATATCTGTGAGCATCAAAACTGTATACCTTTGCTTTGAGTATCTAATGTGACCCTTGTGCAGAAATAACTGCAACTCGATGTTCCCAGGAACTGCTGATCAGTTCTCTGTCTGTCTGCTTGTACAGAGCAGCTTCAACTCTGGGATGTTGGCGAGTTTCTTCACATGAACTGCTTGCGTCAAGTCCTTCAAAACATTTCTATTAGATTAAGGTCAGGAGCTTGACTTGGACTTTACGTAACATTCACGTAATTTGTTCCTGAACCATTATAACCACAAGCAGAACAAATTGTTTGTTAAGGTTTGTTGTCATGACCCACTTCTCTTGAGGTTCAGATGTCCCGACATAATTCAGAGTTTATTGCTCCATCAATGATAGCAACCAGTCTTGGTCTAGTTGCAGACAAACAGGCCCAAACCTTGATACGACCACCACCATGTTTCACAAATGGGAAAAGGCTCCCATGCTGGAACGCACTGTTTTTATTTGCCCTAACGTGATTTCTATTTTAGTTTCAACCTTCCAACAGAACATTTTTTCCAACAGCCTTCTAGCTTGTCCACATGATCTCTAGCAAACTGCAGATGGCAGCAGTGTTCTTTTTGGAGAGCAGAAGCTTTCTCCGTGTGTTCAGTGTTTTCCTGGTAGTGGACTAAACATTATTAACATCAACTCATGTGAAAGAGAACTTCAGTTGTTTAGAACTTACCCTGGGTTCCTTCGTGACCACACTGACTAATGGCTTGCTTTTTGAATGACCTTTATGACTTTTGAATGACTCCTCCTGGTGAGGTTAACAGTGGTCTTGGATTTCTTCCATTTGTACACAGTCTGTCTGACTGCGGATTGGTGGAATCCAAAATCTTTAGAGATGGTTTTGGAACCAGCATCAACAGCTGTTTTTTCCTGAAGTAAAAACAGCTGTTTTTTCCTGAAGTAGACAGATTCTTTGTTTGTCTCATGAAACATGGACACTTCCACACTTTTTCTGTTTTTTTTAAATAAAAGAGGCTGTCCACTCACACCTCATTGTCACACCATTGCTTGAAAACACCTCACTCATTTCATCTTCAATTGCCAACTATGTCTAGGGTCATCCCATGCTAACTCAACTGGGGCTTCCCAGTTGAGTTCATGGATTTTCTTGAAATAAATCACGCAAAAACTTCAACCTAAACCACGGACTCTTGCAAACTCCCACAGCTCTACTTCAAATATTTTGAGTTATGAATTTTTGAAAATAGGCCCTCTGTGTTAATTTATTTTACTTCAGTGATTCTTTTATAAGCATCTTTAAAGACTCACCAACTGCTTATTATTCACATGATTTGGTGGATCCCAGAAACCTCGAGAAAAAGTTGAAACTTGTAATCACGTCAATAGCTTATACTGATTTGCTTTACAAAAAATTAAAATAATTTATCATCAAAACAACAAATCTTTAATTTTCAAAGATGAATACCTCCACTAATATTCACTCAATTCCAACCAAAATCTTTGTTGTGGATAGAAACTGTTTAGTTTTGTCATTTCAAAGTGTAGAAGTTTTGGTGTGATTTAAACCTAAATAAATAAATACAAGACACAAACGGGTAAACGTTCTGAAATCAGGGTGAATTGGCAGGAAACGACCCTCTAGTGGTGCACATACTTTTGCCACAGATGTGTAATAACAGATCATTTTCCTCAATACAAAGATCACCATGTGTACTATATTGGTTTAGAATGTTTAACTGGGTTTCTCTCTATCTACGTTTAGGACTTGATAATATTTTAGGTCATATTTATGTTTAAATACAGTAAACTTTTAGTAATTTAAAAACTTTCAAGCATCACTGTTTACATCAACAAGTTCAGATTTGTAACTGTAATATGAGAAATAAATGAATTGCAGTTCAGTTATTGTTCACAGTGATTTAAAATTAAAATCAGATGCTTTATGTTTTCATCTGCATTGTCTCTCAATATGCTTCATCTCTGTCTTACCACAAAGGAAGTGGAGTTTTACTCGCTCTCAGAGGCCCTGTCATTCGTGTCATTGGTTGATGGGTACTACAGATTGGTCGCCGATGCTCATCATTATCTGTGTAAAGAAGTGGCTCCGCCGAGGCTCCTGGAGTGCATTCAGAGCTACTGCCACGGCCCTGTGTCGTGAGTATTGTTACCAAAGCACAAACCCAGAACATCACACCTGCTCTAGTTCTCATCCACCACTACAGACCAGTGACTCACACAATTCTGTCTCTTTGATCACAGGATGGAGTTTACAACTGGTAAACTACGTCGCTCGGGTAACCACCAGGGCCTGTACATCCTGCGCTGCAGTCCCAGGGACTATGACAAATTCTTTATGTCCTTTGTGGTTGGGGTGAGTACGGTTAATGTTGAATCATTCTCCGTGTAAAGTACTGTACTGTTTACAGGTGACTTTACAGACGGGCTACCTGCTAAACGACTGCTTCGTCTGTGTGTGACTACATGCATCCAGGCACACGACCAGATTATCTCTTGCAGACACTTGTTGTGCGTGTCAGAAGGAAGATCTTTATCTTCACTTCATCATCATCACTTCAACTGTTCCTATGAGTAAACAGTGTTTGTTTACTGGTTCCCCAAACTACAGGCAGTTTCAATGAGTACATCACACCCTCTTAAGTACTGACCATATTAAAACCACTAGAGGGCGCAATAAGGTCTGATTTCCACATGAGGGCAGAGCAGATCTGATGTACTGTGAATAAGACCTACATGTTTCACATCATCAGTTTTAAATGGATTGAATTTAACTGAATGTATTTAATAACAGTGAATTTCTGTAAAGTTGCCATAAATAAAAATGGCAGTTCTGACTCCATTTCTTAAAATATTCAGGACCTCAAACTGTACAAATGTACAAAGTCTTGTGCTTTTATAAAGGTTTACACATCACCTGGCTACAGCTCACAGCTTTTCTCTCAACTACAAAACCAGGAAAAAAACAACACACTTGGAGGAGAAGAAATACATTCAGCCAAATCAAGTGTCGTCATTCTCCTTGTATTTCCAAATGCAGACTTGTAACTCATCAGTTCTTCTTGTTCCTGAACTTCTATCTATTTACACAAAACACAGATATGTGAGCGCGTGCACGAACACACAGTCCACAAGCTGAACAACTTACATGATGCACATTTCCAGAACAATAGGCATCTTTTTTATTTGTCCTGATTGACTCACTTAAACAGTAAGTGTATATAATTAATAAAATAAATAGCATTCACACATTCAGAACAGCCTAACTGTAGTGCTTTTCTTTTGACTTCCAGTATGAAACCATGGTGGACTATAAGCACTGTCAGATCATGAAGACGGAGTCAGGAGAGTACATCCTGAGTGGTGCCAAGAGGAGCTTCGGTTCGCTCAGGGAACTTCTGCATTGCTACCAAAAGGAGGCGCTCCGCACGGATGGGTACACGTTTCAGCTGACCAGGTGTTGCTCACCTAGCTGCAAAGGTCAGTGTTCGAATCCACATGCGTATATCTGTGCCCGATACACAAGAAAACATGTAAAAGAACACATGCAAAGTGATCTTGTTGGGGTTTTTTGGAGGCTGTAAATATGTTTTTCCTTTCTATGATGCATGGATCAATTGTCAAACTTTAGGCAATGTTGTTAAACCATCAGTCAGTGATTCACATGAGTGCTTATTAAAGTTGTGGAGATAAAGTAAGCTGCACACCCAATAACCTGAAACCCACACATTTTATCCTGCATCATGCAAACCACACAACCCTAGTCTAGAGCTCCACAGATCTCCCTACACAAATCTTTTTTAACTTAAATGTAGTTCCTGTTGAATGTAAGATGAAGAAGACTGCACAGCACTGCGTATTTACTGATATCTGAATCTGATCAGACTGTAGCACATCATAGATCATGCACTTGGCAGCTTCAAATTCTTGGACACGGTACACAACATTCAAATCATTTAGCACATGGTAGCTCTTAATGAGTTCCCTACATAGTTTTAGAGCTACACCTTGCTCTTCAGATGCTCCCATTTCAGCTTTTCAACCTTAAACATGAGTTACTGGGCACAGCATCATCAAGGGTGAAGCTAGATATGAAAATTTGTTAAAAAGCGTTTATTCGCTAATAGAAATATATCAACAATTAATTAGTGTTGTCTAACATATAACGGCAAAGTCATTGACATTCTTTAAGGAGTCGAAAGATACGTTTTTAATAAAAGACCTTTATATCTCTGTGGGGATTAGATGGAGTTACTAATGAACGACTCAATAATTCCTTCATCAGGTTTCCAAATGTCAAATCTGTCAAACCTGCATTTCTGATTAACGTTAAGGGCCAAAAAAACAAACCCCAGAGGTTTTATTAATGCTGACATTCATGGCTAAGAAGGACAATTTCTGCTCTGAAGTTTTACTGAAGTGTCGCACACTGGAAGGTAACAACTCTGCTGTTAATCAGATGTAATGTCAAAATGTGACCCTGACTGATCCTAATAGACGTTTGTCTTCACCATTCCTCAGATAAATCCAACCTGCTGGTGTGCAGAAACAATCAAGGGGCAGAGGTTTCTCTGTCTCCTTCGCTCCACAAGCACATCAGCCAGATGGTCTTCCACAAGATCCGAAAAGAGGACCTCGTCATTGTAAGAGAACCCCTCTTGCTTTAGCTCCTCCTGACAGGTTGCACATGTGCAGACCTCGGCCTTCTATTCAGTTTCTAGTGTTTGTATAAGTGATTAAATGTGACGTGTTGTTTCTCGTACATGTTGGATTTTGTTTTGTAGAAGCTAAAACAGCATTTAAAATCATCCAAAATGTATATTAAAGCTGTTAAATACACATTTGGGCTGTAAGGTGGCTCGGTGGTTAGCACCGTTGCCTTGCAGCTAGAAGGTCGCCGGTTCTCGTCCCGGTGAGGACACCCGGGATCTTTCTGCGTGGAGTTTGCATGTTCTCCCCGTGCAGCGTGGGTTCTCTCTGGGTTCTCCGGCTTCCTCCCACAGTCCAAAAACATGCTGAGGTTAATTGGTGGTTCTAAATTATCCGTAGGTGTGAATGTGAGTGTGCTTGGTTGTCTGTCTCTAAGTGTGGCCCTGCGACAGACTGGCGACCTGTCCAGGGTGTCCCCAGCCTTCGCCCTAAGTCGGCTGGGATAGGCTCCAGCCCCCCGTGACCCTAGTGAGGATTAAGCGGTGTATAGATGATGGATGGATGGAAATACACATTTGGAAAAAGCAAATAAGTCTAGCAAAATCTGAAAACACAGCCCTCCTATCACAGCTCTCCCATATGCACGCACTTTATGAAACACTAACTTAGAATCAGAACTGAAGACAGTGACCCGTTCAAGTAGCCGTACTCGTCAGACGTTTCCTTGTAGGATGACTAAATCCCTGCTTCCACTGAGACGAGCATGAACATTTGTTAAACAGCCGACAGCAACAGCCTCTCTCTGGAAAGACTTAAAGAGTGAAGAGGAGGTGCAGAAATTTAATATCCTCTCTAATTACAACGTGCTCAAACATTATTACAGGACTTTTGATCGGAGAGGACTCATGCAGGGTCAGTGAGGTTGCCACTCTCCAAACTGATCCACCTCCTCTTAAGCTCAGCATCAATTGCATTCAGCGAGTTGACTCAGCCCCGTTTTCACCACCTCCGTGACTGGCCCATTTCCGTCGCACCGTAGTTTTATCTCTTTAGGTATTTTAAGTTTTGTGCAACAGGTCTGTCACAGGAAACCGCACACGCTGTTTTACTAATCAAGAGAGCTCAGAGTGTTTTCATTGTGGATCATCACTTTTTTTTCTTTGTACACAGTGTTCAGCAGATTCACCACCTGTTTTTTTTTAACTTCCTGTTTTGAACTTCAGCTTGTTTGTACATTTAGTTTAGAGCTCCAGCAACCAAAATAATCTAGATAGAGTTTTTCATCCTTTATCTTTATCTGTGCCCAACATTAAGAAAAATGTTGGAGGCTCCACGCTTCAGAGGCTTGATCTTAAATCTTTTTTTTCTCTTCTTAATATTCACTAAATTGAAGCCATGTGGTCAGATAGAGTTGAGTTGGCTGAGTCACCGCTCCAGCAGGAGCACACAATATAGTAACTTAGTGTTTGGGCTGCATTGGAAGAGGCTTGAAGCTTTCGCGTGCTCTCATCTTTGTGGTGTGTCACACTTCAGAGATATTTCCAGATAATCCTTGCCTTGACTTCAAATATTGTACTTTTTATTTGAGATGACAAAATGTGTGTCAGTCTGTACTACTGTCATCCAAGTGATAAAAGAATAAATCAGTCAGCGTTGTCTCAGCGCTGACTTTAAGTTTTACTTTTTATCACGAGGAGGATTTTGGCAGATTGACTCATCATCATTGATCTTCAGTAACACATCTTGGCTTTATGAGAAGTTGATATTCGTCAGGGAATAATTAAGATAATACACTCCTTTCCAATGCAGTTTTTATTATGCATTTGTGTTTCAGAGTGAAAGTCTGGGTCAAGGAACTTTCACTAAGATCTTCTGCGGCGTGAGGAAAGAGCTGGGAGACTACGGAGAGGTGCACCAGATCGACGTCGTGATCAAGATCCTGGACAAGGCTCACCGCAACTATTCAGAGGTTCGCTGACTGAATGAACCCAATTAAACAAGTCAATAGCTTAATAGGCCCACATTAACATTCTCCTCTCTCATTTTCCTCCTTCTAGTCCTTCTTTGAAGCCGCCAGTATGATGAGCCAGCTCTCCCACAAGCACTTACTCCTCAACTATGGCATTTGTGTTTGCGGCGATGAGAGTAAGTGCATACCGCATAGATACTGGGCAGCGATGGTTACAAAGGAAGGAGCTGTGGTTATATTAGTCACCAGTGGGTTTTAAAAAGGACGCTTTAGGAACGTATTTGTAGAGGAAATTAAAAGCAGAGTTGATTATACCGAGTAAGCATTTATGAGGAATCAATAGAAAAGGGCTCCTAAAAGAGAAAAAGTGTTGTGTGCTGTAAGGGTTTCTGACCTGATGACACACTCTGATCCTCCATCCTGACTGGACCAAGCCTCTGGGATCAACAAGTCACTTAGTCTTGAACCTTCCTGCACCTGCATGCACAAATCAAAGCAGTGTGTCTTAATGTCTTTGTCAATTCTAAAAGGAGGGACAGTAGAAGTTTATAATGAAACAAAAATCTCTCCACCTAGGTACACATTTCATATGTAATGACCCCCTGCTGGTCAGCTTACATGGATACCTCTATATGACAGCTTGCCTGGTCTCACCCCACAGGCTACCTTTAAACACCTGAGCTACTTTACAGATGTCCTGTATGCATGTGTGTGGGTTACAGCATGTATCTGCTTACCTGTTGTGGTTTGGGCGTCTGTCTGCCTCCGGTTGCTGTGTCCCTGTTCAGGTTTTGTAGGATTTTTCCTGTGTCTCTGTGGCTGTAGTCTCGGTACCAGCGTGTTGCTCGCGGTCGGCTGGATCCCTGCTGAGCGCCGACTTCCCGGTCGGCTCATCAGCAGGTGAGGAAGCTGTCTTCCGGCCTGGCGGCGTCTCTCTGCCGCCACCTGGACGCCGCTGACGCTTATTACAGCTAACAGGCTCAGCGGGTGTCTTATGATGAGCGCAAACTTTACCATCGGCTAACAGCGGATGTCTCCTCTCTCTCCTTCACTTATCTAGACGACCTCGGCTCTCCCAGATCGCCTCCTTGGTTTAGATAACTTCCACCATAAAGTCAACTTAGCATGAAGCTAACTTAGCATGAAGCTAACTGAATTCCACATGGCTCCATGTAAACAAGGAAGTGAGCACATCCGCGTTGTCTCCAGTCCCCGGCCCTTAAAAGGGCGTGGCAGCGTGTTAGTGTGTTTTTTTTTGTTTTTTTTTTTAAACTATGGCAAACCACCAGGGACAGTTTTGTGTAGGTTTCCATTCCTTGGAGGATGACCATGATAGGTGCACACTGTGTTGGGGTCACCAACATGCACTGTTATCTGGAGAGAGCCCACAGTCTTGTATGGACTGGTTTGTAACGCCTACTCTTACCAGAAAAGCCCAGTTTTGGGGGTAAAGTGCACAAGTTCACCTGTTTCTCTGCACCTTGCAGAGCAAAAAATATATAGAGGCTACTAAAGAAAAGGGGGATGTTCAAGGCCTTGGCAAGGCTCCCAGCCCACTCCCACTGTGAAACCCACAGCAGTCCAGCCTTATACTAGCGCCCATGCAGATGTAGAGCCTGTCTTCTCTTCCAGAGAGAATGACCTATTTTGTGGGTGTTGCTGGCAGGGCAACCAGTGTTCTGGGTGTCACCCTCCCTAAAAACCTCATGGGCCCCCCTCCCAGGTTGAGGAGGATGTGGAGCTACTGTGCAGGTTTCTCGTGGCCTTTATCTATAAAGGCCACGAGAAACCTGCCTATAGGCAGGCTGGAGGCCAGCTGGAGGAGGAACGGGAGCTACTAAGGCTCAGGAGGCCTCAAAAGATTCAAGGGTCTCTTGAGTGGAGACTTCCTGCTCAGCGAAATAGCGTTTGAGGAAACTTTCCTCCAGCCATCTCTGCTAACGTCTAAATGCCCCTGGAGCATATTCCTAACCCTTGGCTGGTGGAGGCACTCAGCCAACAGAGAGCAACAGGGGGTGCTGTGGGACTTGTGGTCTATTGCCAGCGGGTCTTCACAGTAGGCTGAAGCATGGTGAATGCTGTGTGTTTGGTCAAGGGGCTCTGGATTTGTTGTTTGGTGACCCAGCCTGTAATGTCCTGCAGCATAGAGCTGTCCCTCTTGCTCTCTGGCAGTTCCTGCCCAAATTGTAAAGTCACCACATCATTGCCAAGAAAGACCCTCACTCCGAGTCACACATGTGCTGAAAACGCTGAACATGGCAGCAGAAGTCATGTCAAGAGGGACTCCATATCCAGGGGAGTGGCCACTCCGTTCTCAGGAGGCTAACGAGATTGGTGTCACCTTTTCAGTTCCAGAGAGTCAGCACATTGTCAACTCTGTCTTCCCTCCTGGGATAATGACCCACCTCTGGGCTGGGCACCCTGGCACACACATGGCCCTGTAGTCTGCTTTGAGTCGTCTCTCCTTTCATGCTTCTTCAGCCCCTTCTGCCAAGAATTTAGGCAGGAGTAAGGCAGATTTCAGTTGCTCGTCTTTGGTCCCACTGGCCATGGTCTCGCCTCTCTCAAATGGGACACCAAGTCTCCTTAGCCTCCTGAGGACGGAGTGGCCACTCCCCCTGAGAAGACCATGAGGACCAGCACCAGTTCTAGCCATGCCCTAAGACAGAAGCAATAAGGCAGATTTTGTTGACTCCATACCCACTCCCCTGGGTATGGAGTCCTTCAGGCGTTGGTGAAGAGTTACCCCACATATATGAAATATGTAACTGGGTGGAGAGATAGTCTCGAGACAATAGATTGTACCCTTGGGTCACTGAGTGAAGAGACTACTCTTCAGCTCTTTTGGCTGCTCGAAGACACGTTTTGGTCAGAACTATCATTGAATTTCTGTCAGCACAGGTGCTTTATAAGTAGCCTGTGGGCTTTGCTGGGTAAGCCAGTTTGCCTTGTATCCATATACCCTGACGTGTAGCGGGTCATTCCCTGTACATGTGAAATATGTAACTAAGTGAAGAGATAGTTTCTTCACTCAGAGACCAAGTGACATTAAAAATACTGAGATGAAACAGATTATTTTTTTTTAAATGAAAAAAGTGATGAGTGGGGAACTTGTTCTGTCATGTGTCAATAACATGTCTGTAACTGCTGTCTACATATTAATGAACAACAGGAAATCAGTGGCAAATCGGTTAAATTTATATATTTTTTAAGTCTGTTAAGTTTGGTTAAGAATACTTTCTACATGGATAGTAGTGAATAAATTATACATTTTAAATAACATCTCCCTCCTAATCTCTCTGTCAGACATGATGGTGCAGGAGTATGGGAAATTTGGTTCAGTGGACACGTACCTGAAAAAGAACAAAAGCTGTGTTAACATCACCTGGAAGCTAGAAGTGGCCAAGCAGCTAGCCTGGGCCATGCACTACCTGGTAAGACTACCACCATAATGCAATCTGCCCGTGACAGATATTGTAGTTTCTAAAGGACAGACACATTTACAGATAGCAGAATTCAAGGAAAAGAGAAATACCTTCTACTACATAAAACTAGTTAAGCCTTCAACCAAGACTGGATTTCCTTTTTTAATGGACAATATGTAGCAATTTTCTCATGTCCCTGTCATGTCTGCACACAGGAGGATAAAAACCTCACTCATGGAAATGTTTGTGCCAAGAATGTCCTCTTGATCAGAGAGGAAGATCGAAAAACAGGCAGTCTGCCCTTCATCAAGCTCAGTGATCCTGGTATCAGCATCACTGTGCTGCCCAGAGAAGGTGAGAAAACGAGGCTCAATGTACTGTCCTGAAGATGTGCCTCACACCTGCGTTGTTTTGTCTTGGTGTGATTGCCTCAGCTGCTTACAGGGACACCATCTGGTCAGCTTTTCTTTCTTTTTCTCCCTCTTTGCTGCGTGTTTATAACTTGTGTTCTCCACCTGTATCTCCGTCTCTATTTCTCTACATGTCCGTTTCTTAGTTCTGGTGGAGCGAATCCCCTGGGTGCCCCCCGAGTGCATCGACAACCCCCAAAATCTGAGTTTAGCCACAGACAAGTGGGGCTTTGGGACCACCCTTTGGGAGATCTGCAGTGGTGGAGACAAACCGCTCAGCACACTGGACAGCTCAAAGGTCACAAAAACGAAGAACGCATTGATTATTGCCGTCACTGAATCCTGATCGTCTCTGAACAAAAAACATGTTCCAGTGTCCTTTTTACATATAAGTTATGAGACAAATTAAAGAATGACATATCAGATGATTAGTGAAGATTTCAATTATTTTACTATTTGTTCCCCACAGTTTTCAGTGAATGATCTCAGTTCAGCAAACTGGCTGCCGTCTGCAGCTACTGTTAGACATATGAAAGTGGCTTCAACCTTTTCATCTAGCTCTTTAAAAACAAACAAAACAATACTCATATTTCCCAAAATGTTGAGCTGCTGCATTTCTGTTGTAAACTAACATAAACATAACCCATTAATTATTTGAGGAATGTCTGCAAACTGTGCATCCTCTCTCCCACCAAAAGTTTAAAACAGGTCATTAACGTCGGTCTTCCTCTGTGCAGAAGAACTTGTTCTATGAGGACAGACACCAGCTGCCTGCTCCCAAATGGACAGAACTGGCCAATCTGATAAACAGCTGCATGGACTATGAGCCTTCACACCGACCCTCATTCAGAGCAGTTATCAGAGATCTCAACAGTCTCTTCACACCAGGTAGGAAAGCAAATGTTGCCTAAACCACCATCTTCACATCAATCAGACATATTGTGCGCCACATCAAACAGAATTCTCCTCTAGGATTCTGTCCAGATTCTGTATGAAACGCATCTTGTTTACAGACTATGAGCTGCTGGTGGAGAGCGACATGGTGCCCAGCCGGACGCGAGGGTTTGGCTTCCCGTGGGCTTCTGAGAGCCAGGAGCCGGCCCAGTTTGAAGAGAGGCACCTCATCTTTCTCAAGCAGCTGGGCAAAGTGAGACATACAAGCACACACACTATATATATATAGTTTAAAGAATGTCTGACTCCCTTTTATCTCCTTCAAAGTATGCAGATGATGTCTTCAGGTGAATGTTTTTAATATTTATCTTTAGCTTTATGGCCCATCTTTGTTTCAATGCCAATATTCACTCATGGATTATTAAGGATTTTACTGGATATTAGAAACAAGTTTGTTCCTTAAAGTCTCTCCCTCCCAGAGGAGAATATTGTTGCTGCTGTCAGTGTGTTAATGTGGTTCAGATAAATTAACACTGAAGCCTAATGGCTAATTGTCACTTCTCATGATATTTTCCACACTGGTGACTTACGCCCAGCACTATTTGATAAAGAAAAACAAATCATCCTTGAAAAGCTCTTAGGGTGGAATGAACGGGCTGCAGAAGACATAGAAGAAGAACTAGCACAGACAAAAAACAATAAAAAGAAACAACAGACAAAACATTCAACAATAACTGATGGGAAATGCACCATGACGTCCTAATCATGTTTTGCTGCGTTAAAAATCCCAATCGTTGCTCAGTGAAATCTAAACTTTTAACCCCGTGTCCCCTCTGACCCCACACTTCAGGGCAACTTTGGCAGTGTGGAGATGTGCCGGTACGACCCCCTGCAGGACAGCACAGGGGAGGTGGTGGCCGTGAAGAAACTCCAGCACAGTACAGCTGAGCACCTCCGTGACTTTGAGCGGGAAATTGATATCCTGAAATCGCTACAGCATGAAAACATCGTCAAATACAAAGGAGTATGCTACAGCGCAGGTATGGACACATTATCTTACATCAGCATGGGCTTATCAAGTTTTATTATCCTTCTGCTTGTCATCTCCTCCTCAATCCTGTACAACTTAGTAACACACAGTAAATCAGATTGCTGATTTTCAAGGTAAACCTTTTTGGGTTGCAGTTTGATTTAATGGATTTGAAAGAAAGAAAAAAGGCGTCCTGCACAGTAGCTGCTTCAGTTTCAAGAATCACCAGACGAAAAGGTTTAGATCCACTGTTTTAGGTTAGAGGTTTGGTTCCCTGTAAGGTTTCCCCTAAAAGATCAAACCCTTTACATAGATTTTAATCCACTGAACTGCAGAATTGAAGGCCATATGTACTTTCTGCCAGTGACACAACCAACGATCCCGAGTGGCCTATGACTCTTCTTTGATTTAATATTACCTCCCCAGCAGATTTTGTAATTCATAATAATGTTATCCACACATTTGCTGCCCACAACATCAATGACTGTGTCCACGAAACAAATAAATCTGTATTTTCTCAGAAATGCCACTTCAGGCGAGGCCTCCACTCTGCCGCTCACACATCATGTTTCCTCTCTTCGGTGTAGCACTCAGCCTCTTTCTCCTTCCCTGCAGGACGAAGGAACCTCAGGCTGATCATGGAATATCTCCCCTTCGGCAGCTTGAGAGATTATCTCATCAAACACAAGGACCACTTTGATTCCAAGAAACTGCTGCACTATGCGTCACAGATTTGCAAGGTAACACAGGACAGCTGTTCTAGTTCATACAGATGGGTGACAAGTTAAAGGACAAAACCGAGATAAGGAACGGCTTCAATGCTCCTTGGCCTTGATTCTCCAAGCCTGTAGAACTTAACTGGAGGGATGGAAGCTAAAAGATATTCCTCAGTTGGTGTTTTGATGATCGTGGTAAACACTGTGCCATCGAACACGTCGGTCTAAAATCTCCCAGAAATGTTCAAGTGGGTTAAGATCTGGTGTCTGCACAGACCATAGCCTCTGATTCACATCATTTTGATAGTCTATCATCCCATCTGCCTTGTGGGTCACAATTTCTAACTGATGTCTTGTCTACAGATCAAATGCACGTCACTTTAGTTGCTGTGCCGTTGAAACATCAGTGGAGCAGTCGTTGTGACTAAAGCTCCTGCAGTCTGTGTCCCAACAATGACCCATCTGTTAAAGTCACTTATAGCTTTTCCTTTTGCCATCCCCATGTCTCCTCAACCTTTTACCACCTGCCTCAGAGTGTAATAATAATAATAACGGATCAGATTTATATAGCGCTTTTCTAAACACTCAAAGAGGCTTTACACTGTCAATTATTCATTCACACACATTCATTCTGGTGGTGGTAGCTACGATTGTAGCCACAGCTGCCCTGGGGCAGACTGCGCCTACGGCCCCTCCAACCACCACCTCAAACAATCCATTCATACGCATTCACACCAGGCAAGGTGGGTGAAGTGTCTTGCCCAAGGACACAACAACCATGAAACAGGTTACAGGGCGGAATCGAACCGCCGACCTTCCGATCATCGACCGACTCGCTCTACCACCTGAGCCACAGGCAGTGTGATTGAATGTTAATTGCTTAATTGTTCCATGCAGTGCATTCATTGTGTTTCTTTACTCATTTTTTTAATGTGTTTCCTTTAATTTCTCACCCGTCTGTTTATACTTGTGAACTGGTCCAGTGAAACAACTCTACAGCTGGAGAGCTGGACAGGAGCTAGAACCACAGTCCAGTCTATGTATTGCTTATTATTTTTACCTACTAGTAACGAGACATTAACTTCCTCCAGGGAATGGACTATCTCGCCACCAAGCGGTACATTCACAGAGACCTGGCCACGAGAAACATTCTGGTGGAAAGCGAGATGAGAGTGAAGATAGGGGATTTCGGCCTGACCAAAGTGCTGCCGCAGGACAAAGAGTACTACACCGTCAAAGAGCCGGGGGAAAGCCCCATCTTCTGGTGAGAACCGTGCTGCAGATTTTAGTCAGCTCCAAAAGTTTTGTTGTGAAGATAAGAGATCTACACTTCTAAATGTTGTTGACTGGATTTCTCACAGTTGTGGTAAACATTTCAACCTCTAGTGGCTCATCTTCAAACACAAGCGTTACAGATAAGATCAAGTCATTCACATGAAGGCAAAGATTAGATCTTGTTTTCGTGTATGCACTCCTGAGTGTGCCTACTTCTGAGAGGCCTTCCTCTTTGGTCGCATGTAGAGTAGCACAAGTGCTGACTACATTGCACAGAGCTGTTTGTGAGCATGATTGTGTTTCGTACTGTGTATATCACGTGTTGTGGTGTCTTCCAGGTATGCTCCAGAGTCGCTGACAGAGAGTAAGTTCTCTGTGGCGTCAGATGTTTGGAGTTTCGGTGTCGTCCTTTACGAACTCTTCACCTACAGTGACAAGAACTGCAGCCCACCAGCGGTACTGCAACTCTTTTCCTTGTTTTTAAGTTCATTTTAGTTCAATCTGACCTTTATGTCATATCTCACTTCACTCTTAATTTCCTCGACGCCCCTCCAAGTTGCTTAATTAAGCTGAAAAACATGCTTCAGCACAATCACTTTGCAGTGTTGTTATAAGAATCAGTTGATTGTCCTCAATAGCAGGAAACCTTTTTGACAGGTTACATTTTTTTTTAACCAAGCTGTTTTCTCTAAAGCTAAATCAAATACACTTTGTCTGTTCTAGGTGTTTATGGACAAGATGGGAAATGAAAAGCAGGGCCAGATGATTGTCTACCATTTGATTGACCTGCTGATGCATGGATATAGGTTACCTGCTCCAGATAACTGTCCAAAGGAGGTCAGTAACTTTATGCATGCTATGAAAGCTTCCATTTTGTTTTCTTTCTATGCTTTAACTAAAAGGTTTTGTAGCTGAAGGGCAATACAAACTCACTACTTGCTTATAGAGATTCAAAACCTGGCTCTCACATAAATTCACAAGCGTACCAACTCAGGTTCACTTGAATTTAGCTTCAGCTTTTACTGTCTGAAACTGCAGATGGGTTTTAAAGCCACCTTGTCTTTAAAAAAATCACCGTAACGACACCATTTATCAAAACCACAAACTGTAAAAACACTCAGATTGTCAACTTTTGTGTGTTTAACTAATCATGTACGACGTGTTCCCCTGTCGGAAAACTGAATCGAATCTAAACAGAAAATTGAAATATTTCATTAAAATCAC